TGGGAATTTTCAATTACAGTATAGAAGAGATAACTTAGTAGAGCAATAACAAAACACTTTGACTTGGTAAAATCTATTTTACTTACAAAAGAAGCGGATGGGTGGTGACATTGTAACAACAACTTTTAACACAAAATGACAAACAAACAAAAAATAACATCAAAAATATAACATTCCTCAATGGCTACAACACTCACGCAGTCACGCTGGTTTGTACACAATCCACATTATTATGGTCCACCACAGACTATTACAGCCTGGAGTCAATATCTAGATCTTATGATAGGCCTCTCTGTATACGGTTTGTTCGGATACGGTTTGAATCCTCTCTGTATCTAACTCCTGAGTACAAGATCAGCTTGAACAATGATTTCCCCAACTGATAACTTCACTAACAACCCTCACTTTGTTATCTAGTTTAAAATAACTCAAGTTCCGACTTTTTCATCTGAATTCTCGGTATACATTTTGTTAAAACTTCTTAAAGACTTTAACCAAAATGTTAAGATTTCTTACCTTTCTCAGCTCACAGTATTCTAAGTCTGACACCTCACAAGTCAGAGCCACCATTAAAAAGGAAACAAAAGAAAAAAATATTTGGACTCCAAATTGGTTTTGGGCCAACTTTGTTTTCTTTTTTTTTGGGTCAGCTTTCTATGAGAGGTAAATTTTGGGCTTAAAACTGTGATCCATTCTAACAATTTTTTAAGGTGAACGAAAAGCTAAAAGTAAAAATGCTGCTTTTACCAAATCGATGTGTTTATTTTACTCTTAACAAAACTTTGATTGTTAGTGTTAAAAAAAACAAAACATTGATTGTGTGATTCTTTTTTTTTTTAATTATTATTATTATGTGATACTCTACTAATTAAGATTTTTTACACTACTGGAAGCAAATTTATTTTATTTTCTTTTAAACTACATAACTCACATAGCCTAGTTTTAATGTATTTAAAAGGCCCACAATTTTGATAAAGAATTTGGTCCTAAAGTCCCCAATAGAAAATAAATATATATATATGGTTGGGGACTTGGGGTTGATGAGTCAGTGTAAATAGTGAGGGAAGAAAGACATTAAAACCATTCGCGAAATTAATAAAAATGGCGACATGGAGCAATCGCGGCCGCATGGGCGTCAAACGACATATCATCGACATCGAGTAGAGAGAGAGATAGATAGAAAACGCAAAAAGGACCCACACAACACAACACACACGTAACTTTTAGTGATGTGTTTAGAGTAAATTTATTCAGCTGATAGAGAGTCACATGGCGTTCGCTGACTTATAGTATATAACAAACCTCTCTAGTCATCGTATTTGCACATGCTTTGCTTTGTATAGACTGAGATATTATTTCATTTTAAAAATGCCAATTATTATTGGAACCAGCCAAAGCCAGAATTTGTCTACACCTTCTTCTCTCTCTATACCACCTCCATGATTACAGAGTCGCATCTGCCGCAATTCCCGTTTATGAAGATCAACTAAAAAAAACTCTACTACAATCTGATGATATCTTGTATAATTCCTTATACGATCTTCTCAAGAATAAACAATTTCTATAAAATAATCTGATTTCGATGATACAATTTTAACTTAAGGTGAAAGTTCACACTATGTTGTACTTCTTCTATATGGCTATATGTTGAAGTCTTGAGAATAATAAACAACTCTGTTACGGCTTCAGTTACCGACTTAGTTATTAAAATATTTTGTGTGTTTTAAAACTTAGTCAGAACAATAACACCACATCATTGTTTTTGGCTCTGTTAGTTTAGTAGTTGCTTGAATGTTGGAAAATCGCAAAAGTTATCGCAACCATGTATATTTTTTTGACATCAGCCATTTGCCCACCACGCTTGCTAGTACATTTCCCAAGATAGTTTTACCATCAAAGAAGACCACTCCCACTAGCTTTGCTTTTTGTTACGAGAAAACAACAACTTTACATTTGTACATGATCTGAATGCAAGTAAACTACTAATGTTGGTTTTATGGTATCAAAACTTTTAAGTTGTCTCAAATATTCTTTATACACTAAAACAAAATATAGCACCAATTACTACTAGCCTTACAAATTCACCAATAGAAAGACAACTAAAATATTGAATCTACTGAACTCTGAAGTAAGAATGTGGGGGGGGGGGGA